GCGGAGGGGACGGGGACGGGGCCGGGGCCGCAGCCGCGGGGCCCCCGCAGCCGGGTCTGGCGCTCCGAGGATCGGCCCCAGGCAGTGGCGGCCCCGCTTTCCCCTTGCCCGTCGCCGAGCAGCGCCGAGAGGCCTTTCCCGGCGGGGAAGCAGGGGCCGGGGCCGGCCGAGCCCCACGAGCCGCCGTTTTCCCACCGCTCCCCTGCCTCGTGTGGCGGCTGCACCGGGGTGGGAGCAGGGACCCGCTGGGAGGCCCCCAGTGCTGCCCTGTGCTCGCCCCGCCAGGCTGGTCGCAGCCCGGGACATCTGCCCCTGCCTTTGCAACAGGCCAGCCGGGAAATGCCCCCGGTTCCCCGCCGCTCCGGCCCGGGGAAGGCTGGTGCTGCCGGCGGAGCCATCCCCTCGGCCTCGGCTCTGCAGGCCGGGGGCTCCCGAGGGCTCCCCCTTGTCCCCCCGCGGTTCCTCCGGGCTTGCTTCCCCCGCCCTGCTAGGTCCGGCGCTGCGGGGAGACCAAAGCCAGGATCCGCGTTGCATAACCGCGGCCCGCGGTGCCCCGCAGGAGCTGGGCCGGGCCGGGGGGACGCTCACTCCCGGGGAGTCCTCGCTGTCGTGGGCTGGCTTGCGGGTTTGGATCCAGGCTGACCGCAGGAGGGGTTGTGGCGGGGGCATGGGTGCTTCCCAGGCCGACTGCTCGCCCCTTTGCAGGGGAGCCGAGGCAGGGCCGGCTCCGCACACCTTCCGCAGCCGCCTTCGGGGCTCCCCGGGACCCCCGGCCTGGCCGGGGTGGGTAGGACAGGGCTCCACGCTTGCACATCGGCTGCGGGGCAGGTGTCGCAGCCCGGGGCAGCCTCCGGCCGCCGGCTCCCGGCGGGGGAAGCTCCTTGGTGGACGGTGGCAGCAGCCGGGGGACCGGAGGCCTCGGGGCCTGCTGCAGCGGCCGGGGTGCGGGCCGAAGTGCTCCGCCAACCCCGCTCCTGCGTGGGGATGTGCCGGGGGGTGGGGGCCGGGCACCTGTGCATCCCCCCGCCCGCTCCCGGGTAACCGCGATGTCTCTGGTGTGCCCGCAGGAATCCCGCGCTACCACTCCCAGTCCCCCAGCATGTGCGACAGGAAGGAATTCGTCTTCTCCTTCAACGCCATGGCCTCCTCCTCCATGCACTCGGCAGGGAGCGGATCCTACTACCACCAGCAAGTGACTTACCAAGACATCAAGCCCTGCGTGATGTGATCCGGGGACCACCCCGCACCGCCGGGCCCAGGACCCAGCCGCGCCTCCCCAGGCCCGCGAGCCGCTCTCCAAGCCAGCTACAGACTGCCCCGAGGTCCTTGCTCATGAGGTATATCGCAGCCACCGGCACAAGGGGACCCGCTGAATGAACTGACCCCCACCCCTACCCCCGGGGGCTCTGGGGAGCCGGGTGTTGCCTCCCTTCCCGGGGCCGAGCACGGCAGATTCACGTGCCCGGAGCTCTTCTTCCCCCTCTCTAACGCGATTAGGGAGAAAAAGCAACAGGCCCCCGGCCCGTTTTGCAAAACTGTTTTATCCGAGCCTGACCCTGCTCGGGGAAGGGGTAGGGTGATCCCGCCGCCCCGCTGAAGCCTGGAGGGGGAGGGGGTGGGAGCTCACAAAGCTCCTCCAGGACCCAGAGGAGACCCCTGGCCCACCTCCCCTTGCCTTTGCCAAAGGAAAGTTTTCCTTCTCGGTGCCTGGGAGGAAGGATCAATCATCCACCCAGCCAAGTCCAGGGCAGTTTGCAGGGACATCACTCCCCCTCCCCCTCCTTTGTCGTCTGTCCCCCCAACTCCTGCTGCGTGTCAGATGCGCCCCTGTGCCACTGAGGGGCTGGGCGAAGAAACGTCTCTTCCCACTGACTTTCTCCTAGTTTCACTTCTATGCCCTGATTTAGCCAAGGGGAAAACAAAAAATCTCCTTTTATATTTTTTCCCTCTGCAAGTAAGGCAAAAAGAAAACCTCCCCGAGGGAGTTGTGTTGTTGCCTGCATAACGCCCCTATGCAGAGAGAATAAGGCACTTTGAAAAAAGAAAGAAAGACAAGAAAATAGGGGGAAAAAAGCAAAAAAAAAAAAGCAAGGCTCATCCTGTTATTTATTTTTTACTTGTTTCTGATTCCTAATGAACGAGACACCAGTAGCCTCAGCTGATCAGTATTAAAGTGGTGTAACTTTGTTGGCAATATTTGCCATATAGATTTTTTTTTTTAGTTAACCATTGTAAATTTAAAACAACGCCGATCTGTGTAAAGACAATCCTCCATATGTTTTATATAAATATATATATAATGAAGGACTATTTTCCCACTGCCCTCACCCCCCCATCCTCCTCCTCTCCCCCACTTTTTTTTTGGCCTGACTTTGTACAGACTGGTGACACCTATTTTAATTTCCTTCTGCACTGTATAAAATTGTAATTACGGGGAGTTTTTTTTTGCCCCTTTGTACGTTTTGTCCTTAAAAAAAAAATCGAACCCAAATAAAACATGTATGTTATTTGTACATGGTCTTCACAAGTGTATGAACAGCAAATAAAATAGCATGCGGTATAATATATGTAGTGACATGTTAAGAGTCTGTGACCATCTTGGGGGGCACATCAGGGCCCCCCGGATCCCAGCTCTATGGGAGTCTCTTTAAGGACTTCAACGGGCTTTGGATCAAGCAACCGCGGTTTCCATCGTGTATTATTCGCTTAAAAGCCAACTCCTAGTAGGATGTTAGGATGCTAACATATTTGGATAGAGAAGAAAACCCCGCAAACCCTCCTGTTCAGATTTCCATAACTCCTGTCCCCACCGCTCAGAAATAATTAACTGGAAAATCTTCATAACCAATTTACATCTCAGTGCAAATTTGAAAGGCGCTGCTATTGTTTTTGGGGGCTGTTTCCAACAAGTCCTTTATCCCCGTCTGAATGCTGTCCCTTTGCTCTACAGAGATATTTAAACTAATACATAAAAAATACTGGAGGTGCACACGTAGAGATAGATAGGGAGACAGATATCTTCATCAGCAAGAAATTCCTTCACCATAAAAACCCCGCCGGGAAAAAAAAAATCAGATTTCAGCTTCCCCTAGCAAATCCAAGGCAGGGCTGCCTTTCCATACGATATGATAGGAATATATATTCCCATCGTAATATATCTGTATTTCTCTCTCTCTCTCTCTCTGTACATAGATAGATAGATATTCCCATCTTTATTTGGACAGGGGAAAAAAAACCCTCTTCCTCCTGTTCAGGTTTCTGTAACTCCTGTCCTCAGCGCTCAGAAATTTTTTTGGAAGACCGTTACCACTTGTGATATACTCTCATCATATCATATCCTATCGATAGGAAAAGTTCCCTATATATATATATATGTATATATATATAT